TTCTTAATTTTTATTTTATTTTCTTTTTTGTTTTATTTATATAGGAATGTATATTGGTCATTTTATGTTAAAAATTGGTGAAAATGACTTTCAGCGCAAAGAATGTGAAAGGTAGAGACGTTCTGTGCCAAAAAACGAAAGGTATGGACGTTTTCCACAACAATATTCAAAGGTAGGGACGTTTTGCGCCATTACCCTATTTTAAAATTGTTTTTCTTTTTTTTTCTAATTTATCTATTATATCATGTATATCTTTTGTTATTATAGATCTTACAATACCTTTAGCAAAAAATTTTATCATATTTTCTTTGAAACATTTTAATATTTTTTGTGATGCATTTAGTTGTTCTTGATATCCAATTTTGTCGAATTCATTTTTAAATTCAATTTCTTTTTTATCTTTTGCAATTTTCTTAATCTTATATGATCCTCTTTTAGATCTTGATTTTTTATAAGTCATTTTATGATAATTTGATTATTTAGGACTTGATTGTATTCTTTTCATATCTTAGTAGCTTTAGATAAATATTCTTCTTGGATATTTTAGGTAGTTTCAATTATTTAGAAAAGTCAAAGGCCATTCTTAAAATATGACTTTGTTTTTAGGTTACTTATGCATATATCCTCAAATAAACAAGCAAGCAAACAAAAATATGCTAAAGTCAACATAGACAGCAGTTTATAATTTTTCAATAAAAATATGTTGAAATTCATCACAGACGTACTGCATCTGCATTCCCAGTACTCAACACAGATACTGGATCATTTTCAAGATTAAATATTGGCATTTAGGAAGAAACACATACTATAAAGAGTAGAACATATACAAGATGTCCTGCAAATTTCATCAGTTTAAGAAAAGAAAATGATTTCTTTTGTTTACTTTATTTTGTTCATCATCTTCCTTTACAAATGCTACTTTAATGCTACTTCAAAAGCCCGGAAAAGTTTGCCACCATCTCCAGCGAAACTTCCTGTAATTGGAAATCTTCACCAACTCGGCTTATTCCCTCATCGCTCACTGAACGAACTATCCGAACTCTATGGTCCACTCATGATGCTACATTTTGGCAGTGTACCAGCACTGATAGTCTCCTCTGCTGATGCAGTTCGAGAGAGAGTGAAAAATCAGGACCTGATTTTCTCAAACAAGCCGAACTTAAGCATTATGCATAAAATTGTTTATGGCTGTAAGGACATAGCTTTTGCTCCTTATGGTGATCACTGGAGGCACGTTAGAAGTATAGCCGTGCTTCAGCTTTTGAGCAACGAGAGGGTTCGATCTTATCGTCATATAAGAGAAGAAGAAACGTCACTTATGATTGAGAAAATTAGAAATTTATCCTCTTCTTCGACGTCTTTGATTAACTTGAGCAAACTATTGTTGTCGCTTACGAATGATATTATAAGTAGAGTGGTCTTGGGGAGGAAATATGGTGGAGAAGGAAGTGAGAACTTCGAGTTCATGTTGAAGGAAATTGGGGAGTTATTGGTTGCTTTTAACCCGGGGGATTACGATCCATGGCTTAAGTGGATTAATCGTGTCAATGGTTTGAATGCCAGACTGGAGAAAGTGGCTAAATCTTTTGATGAATTTTTAACGCGCGTAGTTGAAGAGCATAGAAGTCGAAAGCAAGGAAAGACAGACCGTGATGGGAGCAGCAATGAAGTAGATTCTGTGGACATATTGCTCGAAATTCAGAGGGAGAACAGTTCTAGTTCCCCCATTGAAACTGATACCATTAAAGCTCTCATTTTTGTAAGAATCCCTTTGTCTCTTTCTCCAATTGTTTAACATATTCATATGACATGTTGCAAACAATATTCAAAACATTATAAGATTTCATTGAAGAAACAATTTGGTAAGTCTAATCCTTTTCCTTATGACAGAATATGTTTGGTGCTGGTACTAATACAACATAGTGGATAATGGCAGAGCTTTTAAGGCACCCGAAAATCATGGAGAGACTGCAGAACGAGGTGAGATTAGTAGCTGGAAGTAAATTAGAGATAACAGAGGAAGATTTAGACAAAATGCCCTATTTAAAGTCTGTGATCAAAGAGAGCTTAAGATTACATCCTCCACTTCCATTACTGCTCCCTCGAGAATTAACCCAAGATACTACAGTAATGGGATATGAAGTTGCAGCAGGAACCAGAGTGATGATCGATGCTTGGGCAATCGGGAGAGATCCAATGACGTGGGAAAACCCTGAAGAATTTCATCGAGAGAGGTTTCTTAATTCGGGAATTGACTTCAAAGGGGACAATTTTGAGTTTATCCCATTTGGTACCTGTCGTAGAGGATGCCCTGGTATTACATTTGCCATAGGTGTTGATGAACTTGCATTGGCAAAATTGATGCATAAATTCAACTTTGCAGCTGAAGAAGATTTGGACATGACTGAAGCTCCTGGAACCACTGTCCATATAAAGTTTCCTCTTCTTTTGACCCCAATCCCCCATCTTGCTAGTAACTAACTGCTATCACTCTCTCTATAATTTTCTATCATCATCGCAATAATAAAGCTAGTTTATCTTGTTTTGAATATAATACACATCTATCTATTTGTTTCAAGCTTAAACAACAAGATACCTCCCCTAGGTTTCAATAAAGAGCAATTACAATTAACAAATCTTTCTTAGGTTAATCAATTTGTAGATAATGGATTACCCCCTCTCACATAATGCGCGGGGCCGCGCATATTTAAAAATTCCGACAATGTGGTCATCATCCCCATTGTGAATAGTAAGTAAAAGATTCGATAAAAAAATTCGGTATATGATTCTTCTTTCTTTATATAAGTGTTAATCATTCACAAGTACATCAGAAAAAAATCAGTCAACTAAACAATTACAATTAAGACTTCTTAATCAAAGGGAATTTTCACTTTAAATCTAAAGTTGATGGCTTTAATTACCTCAAAGATACAAAGCTCGGCTTATAGATGGAAGGTTTCATCAAAACTCTAAGCATTCCTCTTTCACACTGTTGGTCAATATAACAATTGGATGTTGACACTCTATATAGGCACTCTCTTTCATTGGGTGACTCGCTACTACCTACATTCTTAGTATCACTTCCCAATCACTACTAGTACACGGATTATATCGCAAAAAACTGAAGGCTTTAGAGCCAACGATGTCACCACTCCAATGTCAAAAACCCATCCAATGAATAAATTCGCTTGATTCGTGCATAGTCCTACTGCAATACCATCAAAAACGTATAATTCATCATGGATTATTCCTTGAATTCTGTTAAGACCTTCACCTGAGTGAGTTGGGAAAGAGATCTTGCTGACTAACAGCAAAACTTACCTTGTGGAATAGGAAGGTTCCGATGGAGGTTGGACTTTGCAAGAATTACATGTCAGCAGCTGCATTTATCCATGAATATTTTCAAAAGGATGAGAACAGCGTTGGGTGTATTGGGTGCATAACTTAGAAAGGGGATGACAAAATTGTCGTGTGTTCCCAGTAATCTAAACAGTGCTTGACTTGAATTCAAAACAGACGTCAATTTTGAACAAATTCTCAATGTATGAGAGAGGAGAGAACCAAGTAAAAGTTTCAACTAGCGTTCATATTTATCTCCAAGATTTTGATGCACCATGGAAAGCTAGTTTCCAGCACTTAATAAGATGTTTATCCTTGGATCTTTTTGGCATTATCCTTCAGTCACTACATAGCTGAGAGTTGTCCAATTAACCGTATGGGGCAGAAAGGTGTAATGTATTGGCTTTTACAATCACCAACATTCAAAGTCATAACCAGCTGAAATACCTGACCACAAAACAGAGGAAATTGCTTTTTGTTCAAGCAACTCGACTCAAACGACCAATGGTGAAACATTCCCAAGCCCTCACCAACTTTGGAGGATTTTATAATGACACAAAAGCCAATAAGAATCCGTAATGTTAACTTAATCTGTCCAGTTCTCATTCAAACTAACACGAAGGCAAGTCTATGAGATCACAACAATTTTAAGTAACACAATCACATGGCAGTCTTACAACTACAATAGAGGATGCTTCTTGACTCCCAGCAACCACATACTGCTTATCAGTAAATTACAAATCCACATGGCACTCTTACAACAACAGTAGAAGATGCTTGTTGATACCCAACAACACATACTAGATTAATAATATGTTACAAGTAATATTGCCTTTAATTTTTAAATTACGTCACGATAAACACAAATTCAAACTGAGGCTTTGTGATTTACCTAAGAGCAAAGAAACGTCAAGGTTGTAAGAAATTTATCAGATCTGTTAATACTCATCATACAGAGTGGGCTGGAATTAAAATGACTGAATTCAAATTTGACAATCCAGAAAAATAATGCATCATTTATGGAAAATCAGATTCACAAGCATGCAACCACTTAAAATTCTTGAAGACAGATAAAAAGAAAATTGTAAAATTTCAATCTTTCCAAGCAAAATGAATCTCCTTCATACATGATAATTACAAGATAACCTAACCCATGAGAATCTAAGCCAACGATCTGACTGGACAATGAAATCTGTTAAATCAAGGATTGGGGATGTTCAAGACGTTTAGAGCCTAATAACAGTATATGATTCAATACCCTGGAATCAGAACTCATTCCTATCACTCCATTTCATGACAAAGGATCAGGTAATGTATTAATCAAAAGCATTTACCATTCTCTCAAATTGTTATTAACCAAAACAAATTGATGAGTACAGCATAAGCATTGATCACTATTTCATTTTCCATAACCAAAACACCAAATAATAGGACATTGCTCAACACATTATAAATACTAAATTAATATTTCTGATCAATGCACGCCAAGAAATTATCACAATTAAATCCATAGTAGAGGGTCCTCATATCACAATTCACAGCAGTATGTAATAGCACAATAACGTGAATATATAAATACATAGATAGATAGATTCTGGTAATAATCAATCACTTTTTCATTCCTTTGGGTTCCCAAAAGGCTGACAAATTCGATCAAATGATCAGACTTCATCCTTAGCTGGGGATGGAAGTTTCTTGAGGTCATCATCAACCACCTTGGTCTTGGTAGGAATAGCCAGATATCCCATCTTCTTGGCGGAGGTGACGTCATCATCATCATCAGAAGAAAAGGAGGAATCATCATCAAAGTCAAAGCGGTGGGGAGAGAACAAAGACCACACGAAGTACATTGTGGCGGCCGTGAGGACCCCGCAACCAACCCCGAACAGCAGCGCCCCAACCACACTCATGATGTCCTTGGTGCGATCCCTAATCGAGCTCGATACTGACGAGTATAACTTAACGGGGCCTTTGTAGGGAAGCATATCGTGTTCAAGATCTCTCGGGCGATCGTTGTAATTGAGGGATGGATGATGGTTAGGGAATCGAGTAGTGGTGGTAGTGAAGATAAGAGTGAGATAACGGGGCGAAGACAAGGAAGAAGGTTTTTGCAAAAGGAAATTAGCATCATTAGGGTTAGGGTTTTGGGAACGGGAATAAGGGTAATAGGTGGTGGTGGTTGCGAAATAGAAGAGGGTTTTGCAGGGACGGGCTGAGGCTGTGACGGCGAGGAGAGAGAAAAGGAGTAGAGGGATAATTGGGGTCGCCATTTTTACGCGTTACACAGAGAGAGAGAGAGAGAGAGAGCAGCTTGAGGATGAAGAAAAATAGCGTAGTCTTGAATTTGGGTAAATAAAAATCTGCTTTATTCTGTGTACGCAGGTGTACTGTAGTGTTCCTGCACGTCAACTCTTTTTCTCCTTTTTCAATTTTCGACATAATCAATTTTATTTACTTTTCAAAAAAATTTATTACACACTTTCTTTATAAAAAATTAAAAATCATAGAAATTTTTGTTGTACTCTTTAGCAATTTCCAAGATTTTATGGAAAAAAAAAAGCCTAATAATTAAGAGTATGGTTGAAGAACAACCCCCAATCACGTCGTCCATTATCATGAATTTTTTAGTGGACTTATTGTTCCTTGTGAATTTCTCGAATTCAAACCCATTTCTCTATCATTGGTCCTTACACAACTTCATATCTCTTTCATGGCCATCTTGATCACCATGGGAGTCATATTGTATCTGTTATGAATTTTGGAACGCAATATAATGACGATAATGAAATAAATAAGAAAAAAATAAACACTAAAATTTACGTGGAAACCCAATATGGGAAAAAATCATGGGTAGCGAAGAAAAATCTATTATAATCAATAGCAATTGTATTTACAATATTAAGATCTCAATACTTTTAATTGAAATCTAAGTTCTCTAACTCTCAAAATGTTGTTGAATAATAATATGTGAAGATACAATGTGGAATATATTAAATCTCTTTTTGGAGTTCTAGATGAAGAAGAAGTCTTAAAATTTGGAAAGATGAATTAAGTCCCCGTTTGGCATCCCTTTTTTTCTATTTTTTGAATAGGAACTTAACTAATGTGTGGGCCCCAATGTCCTTGAACCTGTCAACAGCACCTGACACCTGTTCATTATTTCCTTAATTCCAAAAATGCCTTGACAAAAAAATGTACTGCTTGGAGGTGTTGTTCACTGTTGCAAACTAATTGAAGGGCAAAATCGGTAGTTTTATGGCAAGAATCTGTACTCTGATGAAATTAATGTACTGCTTCTGTTTTTTCAGTACAACTTCACTGTAGCAAAATGAAAAATTTTCCAAAAAAATGAGATTCAAACGGGGGCTAAAAACACCACTAGGCGCCTCGGCCCCTGGCTTTCCTCGACGCTGGTGCCATGCCCTCTTTTTTTTTTTTCTTTTTCCGTTCCAAATTGTTTTCTTCATCTCAAAGTCATTTTTCAAGTCAAACTCTGAATTCTTGATAAAATTTGATTTTCAATAATTAGGACTCTCAAAACCCAAACTCCTTAGACTTTTTTTATTCAACCAAACTCAAATTATATAGAATTTAGATCACATCACAACAAATCTCCATCTTGAAACAAATTCCATCACAAGGAACTCAAGACACATCTCCAAGTAAACAACATTCCTCGTCTTCCAAACAAGCCACAATAGACAAAATCAATGACAAACACCCACTAAGTTCAAGTAATGTTCAAACTTAGCAATGGGAAATGATTTTGTCATCATATCAGCAAAATTATCCTTGGTATCAACCTTGTTCACTACAATATCATCATGAGCAATCACATCACGCACAAAATGATACTTCACATCAATGTGTTTAGTCCTCTCGTGAAACCTCTTATCTTCAGTCAAGAAAATTGCACTCGACTTCAACAAAATACCGTAGACATCTACAAGTCTTCACTGATTTCACCAAATCAATCATCTCAGCCACATACCCTCCTTACATACCTCTGTAATGGTCATATATTCTGCTTATGTTGTAGATAAAACTACTGTATTTTATAAAGTAACTTTCTAGCTGATAGCACAGCTTCCAAGGGTAAACACATACCATGTGAGTGATCTCTTCTTATCAAAATCTCCTGCATAATTTGAATCTACATACCCAATGACTCCATCTGAATTTTTACAAAAATGCTAACAAGTATTAGAAGAGCCTCTCAAATATCCGAAAATCCACTGCACTGCTTTCCAATATTCCTTACCAGGATTTGTCATGTATCTTGGCCAAATCAAATCTTGTACAAATCATAGTATACATCATCGAACCAGCTGCATTGGAATAAGGAACCCGAGACATGTAATTAATGTGTTCATCTAACTAATGACACAAGTTAGATGATAATTTGAAGTGGGCAGCCAAAGGAGTACTGACAACATTCGCATTCACCATCTTGAATTTTTCGAGCACCTTCTCCATGTACTCCTTCTGACCCAAATACAATCTGTCAGTCTTTCTATCCCTCAAAATTTCCATACTAAGAATCTTCTTTGTTGTACTCACATCGTTCATATCAAACTCCTTGCTGAATTGAAACTTCACTTTTCTAACATTTGCTTTATCTTTGGCTACTATGAGCATATCATCAATATATAATAATAAATATGTAGTCGATCAACTATTTTCTTTTATGAAGTACACACAACTATCATAATTACATATGAACAAACCATGAGTAGTCATGAATTAATCAAATCTCATATAACACTGTCTCGATGACTGCTTTAGTCCATACAAGGACTTCCTCAACAAGTACATATAGTCTTCCTTTCCAGAGATTATGAACCTCTTTGATTGTTGCATGTAGATGCTCTCCTCAAGTTCTCCATATAAGAATGTTGTCTGACATCCATCTGCTCAAAATCCAAGTCATTCTTAGCCACCACACCAAGTGAAGTCCGGATGGAACTATGATTCACAACTGGTGAGAACACATCTGTAAAGTTAACACCTGGAATCTGAATGTAGCCCTTTGCCACCAATCTAACCTTGTATCTAGTATTTTCAATCACTGATCTACCTTCCTTTCTTTTGAACACCCATTTGCAGCGAACAACCTTTTTAGCTCTAGGTAATTTCACAAAATCCCAAGTGTTATTTTTGTTTAATGACTACATCTCCTCTTACATAGCAATCACCCATTTGAAAGATGTATATGAATTTGAGATTAGGTTTTTCGATCGTTACGCTATTTTTCATCATTCGTCTAGATAGCAGGCATCCTATCAAAGCCAAGTAAGGCTTCCTCTAAATTCATATGTGCTAGAACCGTTCGCATCTTCACTTCCAACAATGGGGATATCATACTTCATTGTCGCCATGTGAAACAATCAATCTCGCTCTGATACCACTTGTTATGAATTTCGGATCGCAAGATAATAAGATAATGAAATAAACAAGAAGAAAATAAACACCCAAATTTATGTGGAAACCCAATACGGGAAAAAATCACGAGTAGAAGAGAAAAATACACTATAATCAATAGCAATTGTGTTTACAATATCAAGATCTCAATGTTCTCAATTGAAATCTAAGTTCTCTAACTCTCAAGATATTGTTGAATAATAATATGTGAAGATACAATGTGAAATATATATTTAGAAGTTTTAGATAAAGAAGAAATCTTAAAATTTGGGAAAGAACAGAATTAAAAACACCTCCGANTTTTTTTTCTCTTTTTCCATTTCAAGTTGTATTTTTCATCTCAAAGTCCTTTTCCAAGTTAAACTCTCAATCTTTGATGAAATTTAATCTTCACTAATTAGGACTCTCAAAACCCAAATTCTTTATACTTTTTTTATTCGACCAAACCCAAATTACATGGAATTTGGATCACACCACAACAGTCTCGATGTCAAATTATCAATAGCATCCACCACTTCGTCACCCTCTGTTAGGCACGTAATCCCACGTCAACGACCTTACACAACATTGATTTTCGAAATTGGCCTTTTAGTCATGAATCACCCAATTGCAAAAACCTCTAGTGGTCTTTCAACAGATGAGATGCCTACAAACATAAAAAGATGATGAAAACCGTTATTATAAATAAAACGAAAACCAACATGAATATGAAATATTAGAAGCAAATACATCATGGCCTAATGTATAAGAAACCTTTGGCTTTATACAAACTAACGTCGACGTCAATACCTCAAAAGTCCTCTTTGAAAAAAAAAATTACTTGCATTTTCTCTTAAACAGCAATATAGACATCGAAATTTTACCCAATCAAGAAGCAAATACTTTCCCTTTCCACGAGTTAGGTCTAATGCTCTATGTCCAATGATTCTCTCCAATTACAAGACTACACCAAAACTGAATACATCCGACTTCAGTGTAAGGTGTCCACTACTAGTATATTCAGGTGCAGAGTGTCCATGAATACCCATGATCCTTGTGGTAACATGAGACATCCTCATTTGGACCAAACTGAATATCCAAAATCAGAAAGTTTAGGGCGGAACCCTTTATCCTCTTGTGGAAATTTTGTGCATGATTATCACTTGTTGGAGGGTAACGAGAAGGAGATTAGAATAAATTGACCTCCATCATGTCTGAGGCTAGATCATAAGCTAAAACTGACTGAAGTATATAGTTTCTCTGTCCATGCTTAACCACTTGAAAGAAAAGGAAAAATGAAAATCTTCATCCATCAACTACTGATAAATCTTGGGCATAAGCAAAATAATTATCAAAAAAGATAACAAACTAAGAAGAACTTATCATATTGGGTGGAGCAGAAGAATCCCAATTATCGAAATGAACAAATCAAATAGAGCATCAGAAATAGACTCAGTATAATTAAAAGGCAAAGTTGATAGTACTTTTGCTAGTTGCGAAGCAATTCAATTAAAAGCAAAGTTGATAGTACTTCTATATTAATGCATCTTTTAAGTTACCTTCACTGGTTTTGTTTCTTTCGTGCGAACAATGTGATTTAGTGTGCACGTTGTTGTACAATTCGTTAGGCTGGCTGAGGCTTAAGTGAAACCTCAGACAGAAACCAAAGTTATTGTTTGACCCGTGTCAATTACCATGATATTGCTTACAAGCTATATGTATCAATTTAATTTTAAAGAAAACCAAGCCAGTCCCAGGGGGTTGTTACATTTCCTCCTTACTTTGCTATAAAATGGATGTTCGATGCACTTCCAGCAAGTATATATGGAAATTAGTTAACATATATATATATGTTCTTCGAGACTAGAAGGTAGAAGATTGACGGCGCCACAATTCAAAATAAAAATATAGCATGTTAGTATTAAAATTAAATGGCTTTTCATCTAGATCTTGAAAGTGGAAAGTTGAACATTGCTACTTGGGCAAAGTCGGAAAAAAAAACAAACAAAAGAAATAACGAATGAATGATTTAAGCAAGTAAACATGGAAAAACAAGTCATTTTACTTGTATGCCCAAAGTTAAAACCAGTACAAATGCACAAAATATCAGGGAAGAATCGAATTGAAACTTCAGTCCCCTGCCATGCAATTTAACCCAAAACCTTGCGTAAACCTATAAAGCTTCATTTTTCTTCTGTTTTTTCATTCTGGTTCTCCTGGTAAACATATAGCTTCATATTTCTCTTTCATCCCTAGAGGCAAAAGCATCAGATGGGATTCAAGATCATGCCAAGAACCAATCTTGCACGTAAAGTTTTCATTATTCCAGTATATTTTGTTTTCTACGTCATTGACCATAGCCAGTTATCATCAACATGAAAAAAGAAAAAAATGTCGTCAGCGTCAATTTGCCCTTTTCTCTCTCGAACTCTCTGCCTCATCCTGATCTTTAAGCAAACTTGATCCCTGCGAAATGTCCTCAAACTACATAAGGTTTGAAGTGGGCTTATTTCTCTGGCCTTGGACCTTACTTCGTGCGGCATGGGGGTTATATTACTTCACAACGCCAAATAATCCATAGCAGCAGCCACTTGAGTCATGGTAGGCCGAGATGGGGCATCATCTCTTACACACATTAATACCATGTCAACGACCATGCAGAACACGGATTCTTGAAATTCTCCATTCAGTTGTGGATCAGCCAACTGCACACAGTTCTTGCAATCATTCAAAAAAGGACGTGCCTACAAATATAAGAGGATGATTATAGCCATTATATACATAAAAATGAAGACCAACATGAATATCAAATAATTACAAGAATATACTTCAGAGCCTAATGCATAAGAAAACTTTGGCTCTGCACAACCTAATGATACAGAACGGAAGGAAGACAAACAGAAACAGAGAAGAGAGAAGAATTGGATGGAAAACTCAATCAGTCAAATGTTTTAATAATCAATTCAATAGTGTACATAACAAGCAGATATTTAGTTTTGAAGCTTTTCAAATTACTTGCAGTTTCTCATAATAAGCAATTCTATAGGCATTGAAAATTTTACCCAATTAATAAGTGCATGCCTCCCAATTTCACGATTATCATCTAGTGATCTACATCCAGTGATTATCTCCAACAAGACTATGCCAAAACTATAAACATCTGACTTCATCGTAGGTTTTCCAGTTTCAGCATATTCAGGTGCAAAGTATCCATAAGTACTCATGAGCCTAGTAGTAATATGAGTCTTATCCTCATTTGGACAAAACTTTGCAATTCCAAAATCAGAAAGTTTAGGGAGGAACCCATCATCCATCAATATATTAGATGATTTCAGTTCCCCGTAAATGACCGGTGGATTCGCCTGGTGGTACAGGTAACTCAAACCCTTAGCTGTACCATCTGCTACTTTCATTCTAGTAATCCAATCCAGGGGTTGCATGTCAAGTGTAAGATCTGAACAATGACCCTAGCTTATAATCATACATTTATGAAGAAATTCATAAATTCTTCATATCATGCATAAGGGGAATAAAATTTAAGGGCAAAACGATGACTAAACTGGCAACATCCACATAGAATAACCCTTCTAAAGCTACTGAATAAACTATTATAAAAATTTAAAGAAATTTCCATCAGGTATGTGGGAAATAATAAGCTAGAATTGACTGAAGCACATATTTTCTCTGTCCCTCACCAGTAAAAAGAAGAAATGGAAAAGCCTAAAAAGGAGATATATCGCCGTACTATTGCAGTTCCACAGACAAAATTCTACAATATATCAGAGAAACAAATATGATAACTGCCAAGAATTGGCAAATTCCTAACTATCAAGAAAACATGTGAACTGTTGAAATGTGACATATAGCCGCAAATCTCAAGTTTCATCAGATGCCTTGGTACAACAATAACATCCAATAGTCTTTTGTGCATAACTAGATATGGGATCAGAACCAAAAGGGAATAAATTATTGTCGCAAAAGCATTTTCTAAACATATTGTTCTATAATCAGATGTTCAAAGAATGCATTATCAAGAAAAGGAAATTTGATCAGTGTGTATTATTACCGTGGAGGCGATTTTCCAAGGAACCCAAGGTCTCAGGACCCCTCATCACAGTAACCGACCAAATTGACAAGGTTAGGGTGACGCAGCAGAGAAAGCATGTGAATCTCCACCAAAAACTCCTTGTCCCCTTGTGAACCATTTTGATTAAGTCTTTTAACAGCAACTATCCGACAATAGTTACAACATGTTATATACTCACATCTACCCTAATTTTGGAAATTATGAACAAAAAAAGAAGGCCCAATCCAAATATCGGTCATTTTAATCTCTGGTTAAAGATTACCTGGCCAGTGCTCTCAATTATCCCTTTGTATACATGCCCACAGCTACCTTTTCCGATGAAGGATCCTTGCCTGAAATTTTTAGCTCGTGAAAAGAGAACGCCGTCGCATTACTTTTAGATTGATCAGCAGCATCCTCTGAGACAGAGGAACGCTGAACTAACTCTGGTTTTTTACTCATTTTCACTGCATGAATTTACCAACAGTTAGGCTTAGAAGTGTGAGAAAGGAAGAAGCATGATAAACAATTAAACATCACAACCACAAAAATTTAGTCATGGCTCATATGCATTTTGCAGAAGTAATTAATTCTGATTTTTTTTTTTTACTCATGAGAACTTGTCAAGATAACCACAAAAAATTTAGTTATTATTATTTTGAGTTTTAAGAACAGAGTAGAATAGAATACTTGGACACACAAAATGGTACGGTTCACGTGTTCCGGTTTAAACTGAAAAAAATTTGAAAGAACTTTTACAGAATAATATTTGACAATTTTTTATTGATTTTAGACCCAATAATGGCAGAAATTGCACCATATACCTGTGTGATTTAGGATAATTTTTAATTTATTTCTTTTTTAGATAAAAAGAAAAATTTCTCTTAAAAAGTTTTTATTCCTTAACCTTATAAGGAATAGGAAATTATTTTATCCGTACAAATAAATCATTATAATAGAATTATTCCAAGTAAAATTTCGAGTTTTCACGTTGAGTCAACAGTCCGCTTCGCTTGCTTCAGCACCAAGCGTAGCGTCGCCATCACATCACCCAGTTTGAAATCGAGCGAAGAAGGAGAAGAGGTAAAATGGTGGGACTGCTTTCGAACAAAACCCAAAAGGACAAACTAAAGCTTGGCGATCACATCTACTCTTGGAGACACTCGTATATCTACGCTCATCATGGTCCATTTTCTTTTTTCTGTTTTCGACTCTTGAGCCTTTTTTAACTCAATTATATATTGTCCATTTTGAGCATTGTTATACTGATTTTTATTGTCGCGATTTTTCTGTTGGTTGGTCTCTTTCTTATTGATTAATTTGGCTTTTGTTGTACTCTAGAGTCTAGATGAATGTTGAGTTTCGACGGAAAATTCCGAGAAGAGGAAGAGGTCAAAATAAGAGGATTGCAATTTAAAATTTAATAAGAAGTATGAAAGATCGGTTGATCATTCGTGAAAACCTTTTAATTTTATGATTAAATTTTACTTTTATCCTTATTTGTTATCGTGATAGATGGGTGACACAGAATAATGTCTAGACGGATTTTAGGAACTAGTGTTTGCAGATCTAAGCCAATGGTGAAGTTGGAAAGTAGATAGATGAAAGTAAAAATATATACTTCAAACCAAATCTGCAATTTAAATATGCAAACATAAAAAATGTAGACTTATAACAATCTAGACTCTCCTTAAGAGACTTGCTCCCTCTAGTGCTTCAAGTGTCGAAGAATTTATCTGCTTGCCTGGAACGAATGTGGTACCTATGTCACTCATGAACAACCAACAAACTTAACTTTGAAGCAGAGAATGAAGAATATAATTTTCACTTATGTGAAGTAATGACGATTCTGGAAAGAAAAGAATTTCATGAAAGATGACATTGTTTTGGCCAATCTAAACGATAATGTTAAGTTGAAACGACATCTGCTTGGGTGACATATCATTTACGCTTTTTCAAAACAGTCATCACCAATGGGCTCCTTATAACTAATAATTTTTCCTTTATTAAGTGGTGAAAGTTGAAAGCTAGATCAATGTTTTTTGTGTGTGTACGCATAGCTAATGACAAATATTTGGTATATGAACTTATCGTAGGAAATATCTTTCAAGGATCACAAAATCTATGACATTTGGAACCATAGCCTTTCTAATACTTTAGGCAATCCTGCATTCATGATCATGATCATTTTGTCCAGACTGATAAGTTACGTTTTTAGGTTCAAGAAAAGAGAACATCAAGAGCTTGAGCTCGTAAGATGAAATGAAGAAGTTCTATAGAGGTTATATGTCATGGGAAAATACCTTTAAGGTTAAAAAATAAGTTTTACGGAGTGGCTATTGTACCTTTTATGGTTTATGATACTAGGTGTTGGGTAATTAAAAGGAAAAATGTCTAAAAGGTGAATGTGGTGGAATGTGGATGTTAAAATAGAGTGTGGTCATATTAGAATGAGCAAAACAGCTGAAGATCGGACCAATTACGGATAAATTAAAAGAGTGACAATCTAGTCATTTGGTAGTTAGGACATGTCATACATAGACAGAGAAATTTCTATCCGTAAAGTGATAGAATCTTAGTAGAACGTGTTAAAGAGAGAGGGGTAAAAACAAAATTGACACTGTTTGCCTTGGATGGGAATGATAAGATTGCATTGGATCTTTCAGTAGATGCAGCGATATACAGCGTGGTAAGAAAAGATCCATATTGTCAATCCTAAATTACTGGGAAAATAGACATGGTGGTGGTTGTCATTGCAAGCAATTCCAAGCTAAACAGTATACGTATATGAGCTTAAGACTGTAATTTATTACTCTTATGTGGAGGAAGTAAAAACGAAACACACACCCTGGTGAACACTACGAAGATAACTAGCGAGATAACAGTTCTATTTTCTTTCACAAAAAAATATCGAGCAAGAGAGTCAGATATAAGTACATCATGAACAGTATGGCTAATATGACTACTTCAACTCTGCCATTTGTTTGAGAAGTGTTTGATCATGACTAGGGCGGTAAGGTCCCACATTGTTTGAGTAGCCTTTGTGAGTTCTTGAAATTGGGAGCAAGTTTAGAAAGAGATTTAGGCTTATGCAGAGTAATTATCCGTTATGATAACTAACTAAGAACTTACCATATCGGTTGGAGTTAAAGCCCCAGTCATATGATCTCATTCAAATTAAGCCTGAGAAATATATTCAGTATGATTAAAAGGCAAAGTTTGATTTTTTTTACTACTTGGGAAAATATTCAATTATATGATTCATGTTTAACATTTCTAAGTTTCTAACTGCTGAAATAAGACTTGATATATGGCACTAGAGAGGATCTAAATGAGAATTTACTAGGAGCATTTGGAGCAATGGTCATCTTCTGCATAAGACTATTGCCAAGAAGAAATGAACATCAAGTCTACTTTGTAAAGTTATTCGACTTCAATTAATTTAAGGATAAATGGGGAACCAGATCAGCATTAAGAACAATGTGTATTTTGATGTATTTCAATTATATAATAGGTACATTTGATGCAGATACTGTGGGGGCATTAGAGTTATGAATTTTGGAGTCGATGTGTGAAGAATGGCCATGTGATTGTAACTTAGAGTCAATAAGCTATTTTTAGAAATCTTGACAACATGTTCATTATGGTAATTAGTTTCCTGATTTATAGTGGTCAACAAACAATACGAGCTATAATATGCATTGTTCAAGGTTTCATCGATACCTTGTCCCACTCAAATCATTTAGTTGTAACTATTTAATGCCCCTATAAAAATTGCTTTACCAGTATGTCTACGTGGCGGAATGCACTATGAATATGAAAAATGCATTGCTTGTGTAGGATGCGGTTGTGTATGTCCTATTGATTTACTTTTTTTTTATTGGAAATGACACAGGACGTAATTACAAAAGAGTATATAATGTCAAGCAGCCGTAAATTGACAAGTCATGAGGATAATTGGCAACAATAAAAAATACTCAAACTGAGATTTATTCTTGATAAATTTGAAGTTGGCTACATGAATCTACTTTTGCCATGATACACTATATGATCTATTTTACAGGGGCTTGGGTTTTTGTATGATCTATTGTACAGGGCTGGGGTTTTGGTATGATCTATTTATCACACTACATTACATCTGTGAATGCCATTTTTAAATTGTCTCATTTTATCCAATATCATTTCAATTATTTTGATTCGTAGATGGAGTGACAAAAGCCTCCATATGGGAAGAATTTATAAATAGTTCAATTTATATACAGATAAAAATGAGTGGTGGACAAGAGGATAGTACTTCTGGGTCCATTTAAATGTGTGATTGAAAATAAAATAATTTTTTCCAGATGGATGCTAAATCTCGGTTTCTATTGCTTTTGCTGTGCATGACACTGTTATTATTTTTTAGATTGCATATAACTTCTTGAGATTCCGGGATGAATTTTTGTCAAAATTTGATATTGACTAGCAGTTGGATGTGCACTCATTGTATATCATTTTCTGTTTCTTCTTGATTCGAAAATTTTTGATTCATCAAGATCTTGGTCTAAGTTTTTGTAAGACTTTTCTTTAGATTTAAATTTGCAATTTCTTTTTGCTATGGCAATCGTTAACAAGCTATGCAAAGGAGCTGATGCATAGGCCCATATTGGATCAATAATAAATGTTCAGTGGAGAGGGATGAGCACGGAACAATCAGATTCAGGTGTAAAAACTGAATATCTGATACTTATGAGACAAAGGCATGCTTGCCCTTTTCTCTCTTCAAATCTCGGTCCTTGCATTGATGTTCAATTGATCATGTGTTATCTAACTTTTTAGTCAGTATTTATTCCAAAAGGATATGAAGTGAAGAGAACAAAAGTGAAAATGGATAATTTGACTGTATATTGTTCTCAGTTGATATTTTAGAGAGTAATGTATATTTATATGACGAGTTTCTTTCTTGTTCACCTTTTTCTCTTATTATTCTATATACATTTAACATCTTGAATTCGACTATTTCTCTATCTTTAGGCTGTGTATAGTAAACTGTATTGCCCAGTCACCATAGCTTGACTACTTTTTATTTCATTCAACTTAAGGAATATATGTCGGGAACGGAAATGTGATCCATTTCACTCGGGGACCGGGACAGGAAATCGGGACGGGAACTGTGTTAGATCGTTTCATTTTCAGCTCGTCTCTTTCCAATACCTCCAAGCCCCCATGCCCGATATGTGGTGACCAGTCAAAATCTGATGGTGTCATCTCTTCTTGCCTCGACTGTTTTCTTTATGGTGGTGAACTATATCTGTTTCAGTATGGTGTCTCTCCTGCAATGTTTCTTGCCAAAGCTCGTGGCGGAACATGTACTCTTGCCCCTTCTGATCCGCCTGGAGCTGTCCTTCACCGTGCTGAATATCTTCTTCAGAATGGTTTTGGCGCCTACAATATTTTCAAGAACAATTGTGAGGATCTTGCAATATACTGTAAAACTGGTTTAATTGTCTTCACAAAAATTAGTGTCGGCCGGAGTGGGCAGGCAGCTTCTTTTTTAGCTGCTGCTGGTGCCATTGTCCCATCACCACTTCGCTTTTTAACTACTAGCTCTCCCGGTCTTATAGCAGTGGGATATGGCATTTATTGTATTACCCGAGTTATGTCCGATATTGGAGTACGAGGTGATGTCGGGAGAATCCCTGTTGAAAGGCTTGTTTCCGAAGCAGCAACTGAGACCCCGAAGGAAGATTAATCTTTTGAAACTGGAAGTGACTTCTATGGTTGGCCAGTTAGCTCCCCCTAATTATTATGATCACCAGGGATAATTTATGTAAGCATTGATCTGCAGGCTTTCCTGTTAAACGTTTCTCTGGTTAACGTTTCCTTGTATTTTTTAATGTTTGTGAAATTGTCGTCATGGTGTGAAAAACTGGTCCTCTTTGGTGTGCTTGATGCATCTATCTAAACTGGTACTCAAGAATAACTTTGTTTACCTGTTCTTTTTCGTGATATCCTTTTGTTCATCATTCATGTTTTAAGGTTTCCCTGCTTTTTTGACTGTCTTCGTTGTATATAAATACAAAGAGTTGTGCTTCTTGTACATCAAGTGTTACATCAGGGTGTCCATAATGGACACCCGGCACAATCCTATTGGATGGAGTGCATGT